GGGGCCAGCCGATGTACAAGTCAGTGTTTTTATCAAGTCTGGTACCAATTAACCGACCCCGGAGGGATGGAAGGCTTGGTTGGCCCGGGCGACTCACGACCCAGGATTTGATCCCCGGACCGCTCGCGTGGTAAGCGTGCCACTTGCCACTACACCACTTCCGCCCCCTCCCTAGATTATCTTCCCAAACTCCGGGGCAGTTTGATGGGTAACAAATTCTCTTCGAAGAATAGAAACACTCGGCTCTGAAATGAATAAGATGATTAAGAGTGGCTGACCCATTCGGCGGGAGCATTGGGCGTTAACCATTCTCAAGAAGAGAACGGTCAACGTTGAATGTTTTATACCTTTACCTTCTTGTTATTATTCATCCCTAAATTTTACTATCAGACCAGGACTAGGTGCGGCGCCACTTGCAGCTACATCCCTCAGACCGAAAAAAGAGGTCATGAAACTGGTAAGTCCTTAAAGGCAAAGCTCGAGATAGTTGGTCGAAAATTAGCTTTTCCCGTCAAATATGCAGCAGTACGCAAGCGCGGACCATGTGCAGAAGTGGCGGGGCGATTTGACAAGGTTTAGGCGCTAGGAGCCTAGGTTGGAGCATTGGCGCCGCCCCAACCCCATTGAGCCCGCCCACTTCCACGCGACCTTCCAAACAACCACTTGGAACACTAGATGTCAAGCCGTTGTTTGGAAGGTCGTAGGGGATATTTTGCGGATTTCGACTGCCAAGTTCAACATCAAAGTCTATGTTACGGCCATTATCGGGAACTTTGCCATTCATTCTAAGAAGAATCAAATTTTTAAAATAGGAAAAACAAACAAAAAGCAGAAATAAGCAGAAAAATAGAAAAATTAGAAGAAATCAATTTCCATTGCTGATTTTATGGCCGTGTCGGTTGTTGGCATGGAGCCAGCAGCTGCTGTGAACACGTTCCTTCCAGCCCTGACTTGTAAGTAACTAACGAAGAGGAGGTTTTTACTTTAGACCTTTTGGGGTAATTCCTGCTTTTTTCTTTGGGATTGATTCAGCTATCGGCCGAGCGTCATATTTGTACAGAGAGCTCCCTCATTTTATTCCGTGGTTTGCCTTTAGGACTCTTCTTTATGACCTGGAATCTGCACATTAGCTCTATGTGCCTTCTATCGAAAGATATACTCAAGCGTTATTTACGTTTCTGTCAGTTCCTCTCCAAGACAGCAGGTTGTTCATTGTGTTGCAGGTAAAATTGAGATGCCGTTCAGCTGGGCAGCCGTCTTCTCTCTTCTAGCCACACTCAGTTTGGTTGAAGCCCAACGCCGCGTTATTCCTATGGAACGGCCGCCAGATCTGCTACTCGAGCCAAATCCGTTTTCCCCGAATATCCGTGGATCAACCGAATGGCCTCTTTTGGCCAATGCTTTATTACCCACACAGAAGCCCCCGTCGTCACCCGCATGGAACCCCGATCTCCCGCCATTTTTGCGAGGTCTCGAACAAAATATGGGAGAGCAGCGGTTTGTCTTTCCTACACATATCACCACCGCCTTTCTCGCCTCCTCCACTAGTCGGCTGCTGAAGTTACCATCCGTTTTCTTCTTCACACCTCTCTGTCCCTGCTCAGCGAGCCAACAACTTCTTCTCAACCTCCGTCTGGCGCTGCCTCAACCTCCAGTTTCTATCGCCATTCACCTATGCTTTCCTCAGCGCGACTTCTTCCCACCACTCCTCCTCCTCCATTTCTGCTTCTTTCACCACCCCCTTCCCAACCACTGATACCTCCATACACTCAACCGCTGCCGTTTACTATGGCACCGAACCCAAGCACCAAATCCACCACGATCAAACCCATCGTTATTGATCCAGAAGCGATTATGACTGTAGTAAGTTCGCCAAACTTTCTTCTCATTTTGCAAGTAATCAAATAATATTTTCATTTTTAGCCCGAAATTATCCGCCATTGGGGTTATCCAGTGGAAGAGCATCAGGTAGTAACATCCGATGGTTATGTTCTGACGTTGCATCGTATTCCACATGGCAAGAGTGAGTAACGATTTCAGTTGCTTTTTAGCGCAAACAGTGCTAGCAAAAATTAAGCTTTATCAGGAAATCATTTTTCCTCATAAATTTGTGTTTATCTGGATTGACAGCAACATCTTTCCTTGAATTCGCAATGAATATATTAATACTGGCGCTTTCGGGGGAGGGGAGGGGGGGGATCGAATTACTCTGTCAGGTCCAAGCTTAGGGATGATAAGAGAGGATTCGGGGGAACCATGTGAACAATTTGTGGCCTTCCTGGCGTTCCTCCCCTCTCGTGGGGTTAGCCCTAGTGTTATCTACCACCCGCCCTATTTCGAATTCCCCCCTCCCCCTCCCCCTAAGGACACGCCTTAATTCTCTATTTCCTAAGGCCACTCAGGGAAACTGAACAGTTTCTGTATCTGAAAAGAACACACGAAGAGGCAAGTAATTTGCAGTTTCCCTGGTTTGACGTTATCAAGCGGCATAACTGAAACGATTTCCCAAAAAATTAACCCCGCCTTTCTTCTTGAGCTTCAAACAACTCTCTGCTAAACTCTCCTGTATTCTATATTTCGGGGAGGTCCAAGTTGAAGTTCGAATTTGCAAGCTAAATAAAATCAAGAACTTCAAGGTAGGATGTTCTCAAAAAGATCTTCTGCTGATGGACTGTAGCAGGGCTAGCGAGTTGATCATAAAACCGCTACGCACACCTTACACAGGAGGTACGCAATAGCGCTGAAATACACTGAGGATCAGCACCGAGCCCGTTCATCCTCTCAGTGGCTCTGGATGTTAAGGCGAAGGAGCTCAGAGTGGCTGCTCAAAACTGTCCTCTACGCTGAGGCATTGTGCTCATAGCACTAGAACTTCAGTGGAAGGTCAAAAATGATAGGGATTCCTGGGAGAGAATGGGCAATTCAGTCGAACGTTAGGAATACCAAGTTGTTAAGCTCCAGAGAGTGTAAGAATCCATCGAGGAAACTACGAGTTAGGAAGAGCAGAGGAGTTCCAATGTCGGGGAGGGAGCTAGCATTGGCGGAAACGTGGATCAGGCAAC